CAATTATTATACTATAAATATTCTGTGTATATCTTTATATAGACAGCGATAGATAGATAGATAGATAGATAGATATAGATATATGTGTTTAAGCTTCCACAGGGCATATGGAATTTTAGGGGACATTCATTTTTCTTATAACTGCTAATAGTTTTCAGCTGATTTTCTTGGATTTCCTAGAAGTTCAGTCATACCCTCTACAAATAATCTTGTGTAATTACATTGGCATGTACTTTCACATTTATGGTTTAAAGATAGTGCATTTGCAGTATCCTTGTTGCAGTATTCTAATGGGAATGCCTTTAATGTTTTACCTTTGAACTTGAGATATGTTTAAGGGCATCCATTGAAATTATATGGCTTTTCCTATCCTTAAGAAGGTTTAAAGTTAATAGCTTTTCATTTTGAAGCCTTCTTTACTTTCTGGAATAAACAACTGTTTCATCATACTATAGTATGCTTTGGTATTGTAGAAGACGAACTAAAATATAGACAAGGATGTGGGACATTGGTTGTGGCAGAAAGTAAGGAAGTTCTCAAATACTAAATAATCATGTGACAAATCCAGGAGCAAACCTGAAGTCGTTCTCACTAGTCTAAATTGAGGGAGTATCAAACAGCTAAAAGAAAAATGACGGAAATTTGATTGAAACACATCAAGTTTGTAAAAATCAGTTGAGTTCATAAAAATGATGAAAAGTAAAAATGTAAATCTTAATATTCATGGTCGGTGAATACTTTACCCCATCTGATTACTCAGGATAAAATAGAAAATTTGTGATGGCAAGTTCTTCATTATAGAAAAAAGTTATATATATACATAATGAGTAGTAGAATTGGAAAACCAGTTTGCAGTGCCTATTGAAATTACATTTAGAAATGATCACCGCTTACTGCTAAAACTTTTGGTAAGTGATTTAGGGGACTATTAGAATGGAAGGACTGGCCTGATAGCATCTGAACCCATTGCTCAGTTAGCAACCCTAAAATTTTGTATTAGGAAATGTACAGCAGATATTCCTATCAGAATGCAATGAAGTCTAATCAAGTCTCTAAAACAAAAGAACCAGCTAACAGTAAAGGAACAAAGAGCAACTTAACATCACAAGGAAACAATTAGGCAAATCATTGGTGTAGAATATTCTATAAAAGTGTTATTCAAGCTGTGTGTGGTGGCACACAGCTGTAATCCCAGCTACTCAGGAGGTTGAGATAGGAGGATTGTGGTTCAAGGCCAGCCCAGGCACAAGTTCGCAAGACTCTGTGTCAAAAAGAAGCCAGGTATGGTGGTACACACTTGTAATTCCAGCTACGTGGGAAGCAGAGGTAGGAGAATGGCGGGCCATGACTAGCCCAGACCATAGTATGAGACCCTATCTGAAAAACAAACTAAAAGCAAAAGGACTGGGGCATGGCTCAGTGGTGGAGCACTTGCCAGCAAGTGTGAGGCCCTGAGTTAAATCCCCAATACCAACAAAATGAATGATGAATGAATAAATAAGTAAATAGCTACTCAGAGTGTCCCCAGACCAGCAGCACCAACATTACTGGGGGCTCAAATGCAGACTCATGACTGCCACCTTAAACTGAGTCAGTATCTCTGGGGATGGCTCCTAGGAAACTGTTTTCACAACTTCTTCAGGTGATTTTGATGTTCAACCAGAAATTAGAGAACCACTGTGTCACAGGATAAATTTCTAGGCTTAACAAATCAGTGACATCATTAAAGAGAATATAGGAGGAGATCATTAAAGGACAGGATAAATTTATGAAGCAATGATAATAATAATAATAATGGAGGAGGTGAAAGGATTAAAACAAGATTGGCAAAAAGTTCATAATTGTTGAATACTTACATGGGAGCTCATTTTACAATTCTCTTTACTTTCATGAATGTTTGAAATTTTTTGTTAAAATAATTATATAAATTCTTGAAGCAGTTATGACTAAAGTGTAATAAGTTGTAGTTTGTGGCACAACAGGCTATTACTTTACTTTTCATAAAATGACACTGCTTATCCAGTGTGATATTTTTTCCTTTGCTTTTACTTTGTCTAATATTCATTTTGCAAAACCTACTTTAGTTTTGGTCACATTTTTCTATTATGAGTTAGTCTATCCTTTCATTTTTTGTATCTTAGAATCCATTAGTTTGGGGTATCTATCTCTTATGAAGAGTATACTACGATAGTTTGAAGTTCAGTTGTTGTATCTTCTATTAAACATAGGCTTATTTGTCATATAACTTATTATTTATAGTACTCTTTCCTTTACTTTTTTCCTGTTGAGATTTATTGTACTTACAAGTTTTGAGTATTGTCCTTTTTTCCTAATGGGAGCATATTTTAAAAAGCATTCTCAAGAGAGGTTTAGAGTATATTTTTAATAAACTGAAATGAACATGCTTAGGAATTTCACTTCTAGAAATTTGTGTTTTAGAAATAATGTTACAAGTGAGACTTCAAATGATATATTTAAGAGAGTTTGTCACTGCTGTATTGTAATAGCCAAGAAACTGGAAATAATCACTGTTTCTATTAACATCTTAAATATCATAAAGTGAAATGAAATGTAACTTTTACAAACAATAATATATTAGTTGTCTGTTACTGCCTACAAATTATCCCAATACTGAGTCTTTTGAAACAACAGATGTTTATTATCTCACCCAGTTTTTAAGGGTCAGGAATCTGGAAGCTGCTTGGTGGGTTCAGGGCTGTCTGTCATGAGGGTTGCCAATCCTGTCAAAATGTTACTGGTGTCCACTCTCATCCAAAGGCTGCACTGGTGTTGGAGGAGCCACTTCTAAGCTGGTTCATTCACATGGCTGTTGGCAAGATGCCTCATTTCTTAAGGATGGTAGAAGCTCCCAGATTCTCACCACAGGGCTGCCTGCATGTTTTCATGACATGACAGGCAGCTTCTCCCAAAGCAAGTAATCCATGAGAGAGAGCAAGGAGGATGCTCTTTGCTGTCATGACCTAGTCCTTCCATGACCTACTCTCCAAAGTTACACACTGTTATTTCCCTGTCTAGTTTTTTTCCCTGTTCATCAAAATGACTCAGTCCAGTCCACATTGAAGGAGGGATTAGGGGAACAGGCTCCATTTCTCAAACAGAAGGGTATCAGATAATTTACAGACATCTTTTAAAACCACCACAAATGAGAAGTTGTATGCACTAAAGTGGGGCGTTGTAGACCATATATTAAATGATAAAAAAAAAATTGCAGGATTATCATGTCTTGGTTAAGAGTAAACATTATGGAGTATGTATGCGTGTTTGTGTGTAAGCATGGATCAAAGTCAGAAAGACCACAGTGAAAACTGTTTATAGTAGTTATTTCTCAAGTTACATAAGGGAGGGATTTTAATTTTTACTCATTATTTCAGCATTTAGAAATTTTATGAACTTATTTTTAAAAAAATTAGACTGTTGAACCCTAGCATATTTTTCAAAGCAATTCATAAATCTTTGCTAAAATAACAATTTAAGCTAATAATTGCAGACTGGGTTTTATTTTTACTGTACTTTTCTAAAATGAAGGATTAGTGAACTCACTTATTTTCCAGACAGAAACCAATTTTTTTTTTTTTTTGGTGACTGATGTGATGTGAACACAAAAACCAATTTTTAGAGCACTAGTTTGCAGTCCTCTAATTTAGGCCTCTGACCATCCCATATTTTTAAATACATTTTCTATGTGTTAAAATTAGACATACTATGTTTTTAAATTATTAAGTTTATAAGTACTTAAGAATAAACCTCTAGATATTTAAATATATAGTTCTGAATTTTCTCATTCTTGAGTTCTTATTTGTGATTAATGTTTCATTGTAGTTTTTTTTTTAAACAGTACTTGGGTGGTTTATTTTAAATCCTTAAATATTTCAGTAAGCCTTCCCTTTGGTTTTCTACATTAACACATTATGACAGTTTGTAGGAATTCAAATTTATGATTTTTCACCAAATGTTTTAACTTCTCTCACATTTACTTACTAGGTAGGCCTAGATATAAAAACCTCTACTATCTAACCATATGACTTTGTATAAGCTATTTAGTATCACTGAATGTTACTTTCCTCATCCCTTTGCTATGGGTAATAATACCTTACAGAAGTATTATGAAAGTAAAGGAAATACCACAGTCTTATTACCACAACTAATGTTTGGTGACATATAGCTTTTGCTATGATCATGATGATATTCATCATTTTAGTTTCTTTCCCTGTTACTGTAAACTTCTTTAAAATATCTATGTCCCTTATTTTTAGTATTTCCTGAATATTTCTCATTGAATTTTAGAATTGAGAATGCATCATCAAAGAAATTAAATGAATTTATTAGGTAGCCAATTTGTAATCTGTTCTTTCCACTCACTAAAAGAAGTATTTTTAGGCAATTGGAATACATATATTTGCCTCTTTTCCTTTCTAAAACTGCATAGTGATATTAAAAACTAAGAAAAGTTTATAAATGTAGAATAACTGAGTGAAAAGCCATAAATAAATAGGAAATTTCAATAAAAAATCTGGAAGATAACAGGAGGAATATGTGGCAAGAGCCATGTAGTAAAGAACTTACATCCTAGAATTCTCACACAGGAGAATACAAGCAAGAACTGATAAACCCTGTGAGCTTCACCAAGGCTGAGGTTGTGTCCATACTATAAATAGAGGGTTAAGTTGAGATGCAGGCAAACACCCATCCCCCCAAACTGGAAATTAGACATTTATTTTTCTGAAGTACTTGAACATTTCTGGAGAATTCTGGCATTCAAATCACTTATATAGCTTATAGAAGAAGAATAAAATATTTGAGTAAAATCTTGGCCTTTTAAGGAGAGAAACCATGATAATGCAGGGTGAGGAGGGATGACTCTGAGGTCTTTGGTTTTCTTATTGAAATTTCTTTTATCTTTGTGTTTGCCACTTATGCTTTTTACTGAATATCTTTTTCACTTAGATTTCTTCTTCCTGGAAAACTTGAACTTTGACCAGATGGCAGTAACATTGAAGATGTAACTGTTATTTTTACCTGGGAGGAGTGGAAATTTCTGGATTCTTCCCAAAGAAATCTCTACTGGCAGGTCATGTGGGAGAATTACACAAATGTCATTTCCATAGGTAAAGTTATTCCAGCTCCAAGGGAATAGCTTTTTCTAGAACCAGTTTGGTTGAGTGTTTCAGTTCTTCATCTGGGTGCTTGTATTGAGGTAGAAGAAATATTTTCAAATTTGTGTTTTAAATCAGTTGGCAAGTACAGTTTGAGTATCTCTTATCCAAAATGCTTTGAGTTAGAAATGTTTTAGATTTGTATTTTTTTAGATTTTGGAATATTTGTATAGACACTACTGGTTAAGCATCCCTAACCCAGAAAAACAAAATGCAGAATGCTCCAAAATCTGAAATTTTTTGACCATGATGTTGGTATTTAGAAACTGCTGGATTTTGGAGCATTTTAGAGTTCAACTTTTTGGATTAGGTATGCTCAGCCTATAAAAGATAAAGCAAAACATATTCCAAGACACCTTGTCTATGCAATCACCTAGATAATTGTATTTTTTGTTTTAGTTATTATCTTGATTATCCTTGAGACACATAGCTCCATACATACTCAGTTTTCTGTGGTCCCAAATTTTTCTCTTTTCATATTAGGTGTACAAGTTAGCTTTCGTTGAATAACAAACTACTCTAATCTTAGTGGCTTAAAACAAAGTTTATTATATTTTTCATTGTTCCTGTTGTTGGGATGGATCTTCTTTCACAGAGGGACTTTGTTGGGGCTGGCTGGTCTAAGATGAGGCTGGTTGGCCTTTCCCACATGTCTGGCAGTTGCTCAATATCAGTGGGGATAATCCTATATAGCTAGCCTAGCTTCATTTACATAGTGATGGTCACAGGGTTTTAAAAAAGTAGAGACAGGGCAAGCCCTTTTCAAGTTTCTGCTTGTGACTCTTACTATTATCCACGTGACCAAATTGTATAGTCAAACCTAGAAACAGTGTGGAAGGAGAACACCCAAAGTTGAAGATAAACTAGAGAGCTAATGTGGTCTTTTGTTGCCCCACATAATCTATCACACAGTTCTAGAACAGAAAAGTTGAAATAATATATTTTATTTCTAATAATAATATCCCAAATAAAATAATTAATGAAATCTCAGTCTTTAAGACTAATCCTATAAAACAATTAGCCTTATTCTTATTTCTAATAGTGCCTGGTGAATATTAGATGCTCAAGATGTGTTTGTGGAATGATCAAGTGAATGAATGAATACATGCATGAATGAACAAAATAAGTGAATTTCAGACCCAAATGGAGCAGCCAAAGTTATAACCTTTTGTTCATTTTTCTACCCTCACATATATTCCTGTCATTCTATAGAGTGTTGATTTCTATATCTGGAATTTTTTAAGCACAACCTTGATCTCATCACTGAAGTATCTTCTTACTCTTCTAGAAAACTTGAATGATAGTTATTTGCCGCAAGAAGAAAGATCTAAATACTTGGAATATGAAAATTTTTCCTGCTGGAAAACCTGGAAGGACACTGGTCCTCAGATATATGAGAATCAGAACTATAAGGAATTTGTTCAAAGGGTAGATTCCAAAGACATAAAGCAACGAGACCTTTCCCTGTGTCAGGAATGGTTAATGGTCTCTACACAAGTACCAGAGTATGGGAACTGTGAACTAAGTTTTGAAGGTAAAAGCCCCAGGAGCTCAAAATGCAAAAAGATTTTACCATGCCAGTCCTCAGCAACAAAAAATATTCAAGAATGTAATAGAGAAGTCTACATGTGTGATTCACGTGGTTTTCAAGGGAACAGGTGCCATGTTGGCATGTCCAGGAAAAATCTCTCTATGGAAAAAGAACAGAAGTTCATAGTTCAGCATTCCTACATCCCAGTGGAGGAAGAGCTTCCAAAGTACATTGGACAGGTATGCCAAAATGACCTATGGAAAGATTCCCTGGAAAAGAAATACCGTGGATGTAATAAATGTAGAGAAGCTTATTATTGGAACTTACAGGGTGTTCTCCATAAGACAAATCAACTTGGAGAAAAGCTCTGTGAATATTCCATCAGCATAGCATGCTTCTCTCAAAGACCACATTTGTACAGACATCCAGGAATCCACATGGGTAAGAAACTGTACCAATGTGATGAAATTGGCAGTGACTTCAGGCAGAGCTTGGGAATTCACTCTTACCAGAGAGTTCACAAAGGGGAGATTTCTATCTGTAATGCATGTGGTAAGAGTTTCAGTCAAATCTCTTGTCTTCACAATCATCAAAGAGTCCACAAAGAAGAGAAACTTTATAAATTTGAGTGTGATGAAGACCTCAGTAGAAATTCATTACTTTACATTCACCAGAGATGTCACATAGAGAGAAACCTTTTAAGTGCAATCAGTGTGGTAAGAGTTTTAGTCGGAGCTCAGTACTTCATGTCCATCAGAGAATCCACACTGGAGAAAAACCATACAAGTGTGATGAGTGTGGTAAGAGCTTCAGTCAGAGCTCAAATCTTCAAATTCATCAGTTAGTCCACACAGGAAAGAAGTTCTGTAAGTGTGATGACTGTGATAAGGGCTTTACCCAGCACTCAAATCCTCAAATTCATCAGAGAGTGCACAGAGGAGAGAAGCCTTATAAATGTGATGACTGTGGAAAAGACTTCAGTCACAGCTCAGATCTTCGCATTCACCAGAGAGTCCACACAGGGGAGAAATCCTATACTTGTCATAAATGTGGGAAGGGCTTCAGCAAAAGTTCAAAGCTTCATACTCATCAAAGAGTACATACTGTAGAGAAACCTTATAAATGTGAAGAGTGTGGAAAGGGCTTTAGTCACAGTTCTAATCTTCACATCCACCAGAGGGTCCATCCAGGAGAAAAGCCTTATCAGTGTGCAAAATGTGATAAGCGTTTCAGTCACAGCTCAGCTCTTTGAATTCACCAAAGAGTCCACATGGAGGAGAAGATTTTTAATTGCCATGGGTATGATAAGGGATTTGATCAGAATTCACATCTTCACAATAATCACAGAAGAGAGACCTTACAAATCTTATAACTTTAAACTCAGTAAGTGCTGCTGGGAAAGAAATCCTGCAAGTAACACAAATTACAGCAAGCAGCAATTACGGTTTCCCCTAACTCCACTAAGAATAATCTCCTTCAAGAGGAGAGCCTGAGGAAGATTACTATATATTTAAAATTAAAGTGTATTTTCTTTACTATAAATATAATAATCATAAAAATATTAAAAATTAAGGAAAAAATCTCTTTATCCTGTTTCATTCTACTCCTTTTTTCAGTATATTTTAATGGACATGAAATCAATTATTGTATTTCCATTGACTTCAAAACATTCAAGTTTTGGGTTGAATTGAAACTGGCTAGCTGTCTTTGAAACAGCATCTAAGACCAGTGGAATTGAATTGCTTATGTAACAAAAGTAAAAGATAGGAAAACACTATATGACTTTGTATCTAAGTCAGTATATATTAGAGATGTTCTTTCTGTCAATCAGGAAACTCAGAAACCAGACTTCTGTTGCAGGGGTGCTGCACTTTGAGGAACCACAGTGTACTCTCATTCCACATTTATTCATAGGTTGAGACATCAAATGACAAGAAACAGATACAGATTCTTTAAGAAAGAGATGGATTAAAGTTAACAACAGTGAATGTTAGAAGCTGAACATAATGTTTGTGTAGAATCAGAGGTCCAAGGAGTGAAATTTTATGTAATCTCAGTAGAATAAGGTAGTAATAGAAAAATACCTGTAGGAACAAAATTGAACTCAACAACAATGCACCCTCGAGCTAATTATGTAAGAAAATAATTTGGCCATTATGAAAATGGAGTTGGTTGGTGATACAGCTCAGTGGTACAGTACTTGCTTAGCATGCACAGGGCCCTGGGTTTGATCTCCAGCACCTTTAAAGAAATCCATACAAAAATGGAATAATTAGAAATATACAGGTTCTAATTGTTGATACACAAGTATGTCTAGATAGCACTTCCCAGGGGGAAAAACTTTAAGTGAATCTATTTAGGGAAACAGGGGAATTATAATACCAAAGAAAGGAATATCATCCGAAGCCTCAGATGTGTACAGCCCTGGAAATAGCACTTTCAGGCTCCAGAGGATCTGGTGTAGAAATCCATAAGTAGACAAGAGCCTCTAAAGTAAAATGAGAAATAGATGCAATGGAGAAGGGCTTTAGGAAAATTACTCTTAAGTGTAGTATCAAAGTAAAAGTTAAGAGGGAACTGAATTAACATTGTAGAGCATTATGTACTGTCAAGAATAAATGAGCTCACCTTAAATGTATAAGAAAAAGAATAATGAGATGGAAAATAAGAAAAGACAGATAAAGAGCAGGGAACAGAGATCCAATGTAGGAATTAACAGTTTCTAGAGGAAGATAAAAAGAACACTTGGGAGCTAGGTGTGGTGATGTACCTGTAATCCTAGCAACTTGGGAGGGTGAGGCCAGAGGAATCCAAATTCAAAGTCAGCCTGAGCAAGCAGACCCTGTCTTGAAACAAAAAAATAACATTTGGAATCAAATTGATGATCAAATTATGAATTTTTTCCTGAGTTAAAAGTATACACTCACTAGGTTTTAGGCAAAAGCAAAATAAAAGCAATTTTAGCTTGGAAAAAAAAATTGAAAGCATGTAGGAAGAAAAATTCTAGTGAACTACAAAAGCATAAAGGGAGAAATAAAGACCTCTGCAATAGTAACTTTCAGAAGACAATGCAGCAACACCTTCAGAATTCTGAGATTACAACCAGAGTATCAGCTATCATTATAATCAATGATTTTTAAAAATATATACATTCACAGGAAGTAAACATTTAATATAAACAAGAAACAGCATACCATATATATGCCTTGAGAGTCAAGAATCTGGAGACCATGGTATAAATGTACCGGCGAGCACTGAAATTAGTCTCAATAGTTAATTTGTTTACAAAACTTCAAAATATACAAATGCTGAATATAAATGCAGATTATGTATGAAAATCTGGTTGGAAGAGTAAGATTGTTGTAAAATGCAGGTCATTCAGTTAAGTTTGAATTTCAGATAAGCAAAAAATAATTTTTAAATGTGTCCCAAATGCTCTATGGGTCCAATACTAAAATTTATTTGAAATTCAAATTTAAACAGGTGTCTTGTGTTTTGTTTGCTAAGTCTGGCAACCTTTGAAGAAAGCAAAAAGTGGTGCTATTTTCTGATCTCAAGTAGCAGAGCTCATAACATTTTCTTCTTGATCTTAACAATTTAGGAAACAGGTCTAACTTTTTGTACAAACTTAGGAAATTCAATTAACTGAACTAAAAATAACTATATGTACATTGCATAATGGGAGAGAACATAAAAGCAAATTAGAGACCATGGAAGAAGATGAAAACCAAATGAACAAAAGCCTTATTAAAAAGTTTTGAGGTGGGCATGGTGGCTTACCCTTGCAGTCTCAGCTACTTGGGAGACAGATAGGAGGATCATGGTTCAAAGTCAGCCCAGGCAAAAAATTAGACCTTGTCTCATGAAACAAGCCAGGCTGGTGGTGGTACTCGTCTTGTAGTCTGAGGCTGGACAGGGCAAAAGTCCCAGACCCTATCTGAAAAACAAACTATAAAGCAAAGGGGGCTTGGATACATGGCTCAAGTATCATGAGGCCCTGAGTTCAAATCCCAAGATGGCTAAAAAGAAAGTTTGAAAACACTAGGTTAAAATTTTAATTATATGCTACTACAAATGAAAATATAAAAATAAAATATTGATTAAAGATTAGATAAAGGCTTATTAGGCAAATATATAGGGGTACCTATAATGTGTTTTTTAAAGCTAATTTTAAAAATACAACTAATTAAACTCATTAAGGTAGGTGAAAATACAAAATCAATAGTTTCCTAAACTCTTGCAAAACCCAAAAATGTAATGAGTGGGAAAATCATTGATAATGCCAGTAAATTTTTTTTTTTTTTGCAGTACTGGGGTTTGAACTCAGGGCCTACACCTTGAGCCACTCTGCCAGCCCTTTTTTGTGATGGGTTTTTTCAAGATAGGGTCTCATGAGCTATTTGCCCAGACTGGCTTTGAATCACAATCCTCCTGAAGTAGGTAGGATTACAGGCATGAGCCACCAGCACCTGGTACTACTAAAATATTTTTAAAGCTAGGCAAGGTGGTACATGCTGATAATTATAGCACTCAGGAGGCCAAGAAAGAAGGATCATTAGTTCAAGGCCAGCCTAGGTTGTCTAGCAAATTCAAGGCCAGCATGGACCACATTATACGATCTTGTCTCAAAAAGAATTTTTTTAATGAAACAAGTAAAAATGTAAAATGAAAATATTGAAAAAAAAAACCCAAAACACTTTAACTAGGCTGGAAATGTAGCCCAGAAATACTGTTTACATAGCATGCATGGGCCCTAGGTTCAACCCCAGCACTACCAAAAAGAAAAAAAAAGAATGTTAATGTATTTGAACAGGAAAAGTCTAATTCCTACAGGAAATATTCACAAGTTAATTTATAGATTTATTTCAAATCTCAATAAGATTTTAAACTTAAAATTCTGGGTTTTAAAAATCAACATTGGAGAAAAGCAAAAATAATTATCCAAATGATTGATGAGACTGCCCTGACAGAGTAAATGCCATGTGCAAGCAATAGCAATGGAGAACATGATTGTATGTTTTAAGATTCTAAATCACTAACTAGCTTAGAAACATACCAGCCTATGGATTATATATGTGTATATATTTAGTACATATGCTTAAATACTTCACATATGATAAAGATCTATGAAAAGGATGATAGTTCTGTAGATGGTACTCAGATAATTATTTAACTGTGGTGAAAAGCAAAATTAGTCCTTCATCTCATGATCTACATAAGAATAAAACACATGTTGATTAAAGCACACATTGTGCTTTCCAATCAAGTTGTGTTCCATGGACATGTTGATGACATGAGAATTTTATAACTATGGCAAAAAATTGGAAGTCAGGCAAAAATAGGAAAAGGATGCTTAGCTTAAAACCCTTCATTGATTCTGCAGCACTACAGTTAATATGAATTGAAATGCCTTCAGTAGCCAGAATGTCCCATAAATGTGATAAACACAGTGTATGTGTATGTGGGGAAGCAGATGTGATGAGTAGACAGTATGTGACCCATCCAAGGGCCTTCAATTCAATTATGCTAAACAATTGGGTCTCTTAACTTGTACAAAGAGTAAAGAACCATCAGATGGTTTGGCAAGCACTGGTCAGGCCTCCCATGCTTACTCTGTCCTGAACCCTGTAACACCAGAGAAGACAGACTGTGTATGTCCACAGACTAGACAATGGCAATGCAACTGAACACATTATTTTTCCCTATTGCAAGGAAGCAAGATGTCACTGTTGGCATAGTCAGAAATTATATCTGGAACCCAGTTGTTTCAACCAAATGTCTAAGCTTGCTAAAGGCAAGTTTTTACAACTATATGAGGTAATTATACTTGAGTTTCAGGGAGACATGACTGTGGTTCTAAAATAGGTAAACTTCTATTCAGTGATTTTTTTTGGGGGGGGTGCAAAAAACAAGATACCCTATCCAAAACATAACCAAACAAAAAATGATTGGGGCTGTGACTGAAGTGACAGACCACTTGCCTGCCTAGCAAGTGCAAGGTCCCAAGTTTAAACCCTGGGATAGCCAAAAAAAGTTCAAATTAGGATTGGGATGTGGCTCAGTGATACAGTGCTTACCTAATGTACATGAGACTCTGAGTTCAGCCCGTGCCACTGCAAAAAAAATATGCTTAAATTACCTATCAAATCTCAAATATCACATAGTGTAATAGCAAAATACATGAAAACAATTGTGAGGAGTAAATGATAGGAAAATAGATAACTCATGAAAGTAATTGTTGAGATTGTGAGAGACCAAGTCATATGAGATTTAAACCTAGAGTCAAACTTTCTGCTAAAAACAAGACAGTTAAATACAATTTTGTGGACCTTAAGGTTCAGTAGCAACAACTCAACTTTGCTATTGTAGAGT